CACAACCGATTTGTGACAACCGTGTTACTAGGGTTGAGACTCGAGCTGCGGACGTTCCAGAAGGTGGCAGCGTAGAAGAACAATCGACGGCCATCAAGAATGCCTTTCCAGAAACAAGCGAGAACAACTTGGGTGAGGTGCGCACCCAGAGGAAAGAGTGGATCACAGATGAAACCTGGCGGAAGATTGAGGAGCGTAGAGAAGCAAAAGCCGCGATAGAGCGGGTGAGAACCAGAGGAGCCAAGAACGAAGCCCGTCAACGGTACTCGGCTCTAGAGAAGGAAGTCAAGCGCTCTTGCAGACCGGACAAGCGAGCGTGGGTGAAGTCCCTGGCCGACGAAGGGGAGAAAGCAGCAAACACTGGCGATGTACGCCTCCTCTACGATATTTCACGACACCTGAGTGGAGCAAGGATGAACCCGAGGATGCCAGTGGAGGACATGACTGGACAATTGCTTACCGACCCCACTGACCAGCTGAAACGCTGGTTTGAGCACTTCGAACAACTTCTTCAAGTTTCGACGGCCAACCAGCCATCAACATCTCGGCACGATCTGCTTAGGGTGCGGCGCATCACTCGCGTCAATTCCGAAGCCCCATCCCTGTAGGAGATTGAAGCAGCTCTCTGAAGCATGAAATCCAACAAGGCTCCAGGGGTCGATCGCATATCAGCAGAGATGCTCAAAGCTGACCCCATGCTATCCGCACAAATGTTGCATCAACTATTCTGTAATATCTGGGACACCGCGACTTTTCCGGCTGACTGGATGCAGGGGCATCTTAGTGAAGGTCCCAAAGAAGGGGGATATGACTGTGTGAGACAATTGGCGAGGCATCATGTTACTGTGTATTGTTCTCAAAGTTCTGTGCAAAGTTATCCTGAATCGGATACAGGAGAAGATTGACGCGACTCTCCGACGGCAGCAGGCAGGATTCCGTGCCGGAAGATCTTGTGTGGACCATATTGTCATGCTCCGCATCATCCTGGAGCAGGTCAATGAATTCCAAGAGTCCCTTTATTTGGTATTCATTGACTACGAATAAGCTTTCGACCGTCTCAATCACGAGAATCTGTGAGGCGCCCTGAGACGCAAGGTAGTCCCGGATAAAATCGTCAACCTCATCGAAGCGCAGTATGAGGCTTTGACGTGCAGAGTTCTGCATAACGGAGCCTTGTTTGACCCTATCCGGGTAGTCGCTGGTGTGAGACAAGGATGTATACTATCACCGCTACTGTTTCTCATCGTAATCGACGAGATCATGGTAGGTGCAATTGACCGTGTACCGAACCGTGGGCTGCTTTGGCAGCCTATCACCATGGACGATCTCAACGACTTCGATTTGGCTGATGATGTTGCTCTACTAGCACAACGGCGCTCTGATATGCAGAGTAAGCTCAATGACCTAGCCGAACGCTCCTCTGCGGCGGGTCTCACCATCAACGTCAACAAGACCGAATCGTTGGATATCAACACGGGCAACCCTTCCAACTTTACGGTAGCGGGGCAAGCAGTGGAGAAGGTCGAAAGTTTCCAATATCTTGGCAGCCAAATAGCGTCGGACGGCGGGGCCAAGAGCGACATAGGTGCACGAATCAAGAAGGCTAGGGCTGCCTTTGCGAGTTTACGAAACGTATGGAGATCCAACCAGATAAGCCAACGCACCAAAATCCGAATTTTCAACTCGAACGTGAAATCTGTATTGTTATACGCCAGCGAGACGTGGTATGTATCAGCGGAGAACACTCAAAAGGTGCAGGTCTTCATCAACCGATGCCTGCGGTATATAATTCGTGCCTGGTGACCTCACAACTGGATCTCGAATGCCGAGCTCCATCGTCGATGTCATCAGAAGCCGATAGCAACAGAAATTCGAGAGCGAAAGTGGAGGTGGGTCGGCCACACACTTCGACGGGGCGGAAACGAAATCTGAAAGCAAGCGCTGGATTGGAATCTGGCAGGACATCGCAGGCAGACTCAAGGGCTCATGGCGGTGGAGCCTCAATAAGGAAATTAAGCAAGTCGATAGGAATCTGACCTGGGCAAAAGCGAGCAGCCGCCCAGGATGGAAGTCTTTCACGTCTTTGCACCGCTGGTGGTGCACAGGACCCTTAAGTAAGTAAGTAAGTTAGTTTAAGCTTTTCAGTTTTCAGTAATTTCTTAACATAAAGTAGCATACTTAAAACTTGAAATTAGCCCAAAAATCAAGGAAAACTATTAATTTTCCTTTAGATTTTGAATCCTTTGATCCTATAGTTGCGGAGGTGTTCCTATAATAGTGTTATCTATTAGAAACCAATGCGTGGCACTATTATACTTATCGCACTAATCACAATTATTTTTTAAATAAATAAACTGACTTAGTTCTTCCACTACTGGCTCACCAACCCTCATGGATAGAAATCCCCTTATAAGTTAACTAATAAGCACTTGTAAAAAAAAGTTAATGAAGATCATGTTTCAAACGAAATGTATAAACGGTCACACATACCATTTATGCATTCTTATAGGACCTATGTGTTTTAAGATCTGCTGATGCCTACGTACACACTTAGAAATAACTACTTTTACACGAGACGTAATCCATATTGGACGTAAATCATAGAACGTAAACAAACATTTCATGTAAAATTAAGTGTTCTCAAACCGAAACATCAGCTAGTCGACGAAGAGAACGTTTGATTGAATTGAATTTCACGTTTCTTTCAACTGATTCTTATGTCAAAAGGGCCGCTTACATGTGTCGGTCTCAGGGAACCGAAATTTACATGTAGTGTGTGTCATAAGGCTAGAAAATGGTGAGTTGACTACCTGGAAGGAGCGGAATACCTAGCCCTGGTCCTCGCAAGTTCCTACTTCACGCCTCCTCGAGTCATATGATAACAAAAGACTACCAGCTGAAACATGGACACAGCTGGGTGGCGTAGCCTGGGCAATGTTGCCAGTCCGGCAATAGCAAAGTGAAGAGGTGCGACGCGAACACTGGCGCGGTAACCATAGTACGGTGATAGAGGAAATGCTTCACCAAACCTGAGCGTCTGTTCATCATGGAGGTGCGGCTCAAAACGGCGTCTGTTCTCCATGTTAGGAGCGGCTGATTACCATCCTAGTGCCAGCGTGGGACTCTAAACAGAGCTGTGCACGATGGTCCCCCGGCGAGACAGGGGGTTGGGGCAGGCCCAACAAGCCGCCCTGGAAAAAAAAAAACAAAGTTGCAAATACTGAAGAAAGAAATACGGATCGGAACAATCGGCACAGACCTACGCGACGAAATAAGGACTACGATTGGAAACTCGGAACCTGGAACTGCAAATCGCTCGGCTTCCCGGGTTGCGATAGGTTAATCTATGACGAACTTCAACCACGCAACTTCGAAGTCGTAGTACTGCAGGAACTTTGCTGGACGGGACAAAAGGTATGGAAAAGCAGGCATCGAGCGGCTACTTTCTACCAGAGCTGTGGCACCACCAACGAGCTGAGTGTAGTATCGCGGCCTCCTCGCTAGCTGGTCGTTACTTCAATGCCCTCTCTATCTCTCTCCCTGCCCGTTCTCGTCTATGCTTTCACTACCTCTTTCACTACCACACCCTTATCAAGGCCAAGGTAACTTAACCCAAAGGTAGTCCTATTTCCTTAGACACAAAGGTTTTTTTGGTAAAGGTATGACTAATATACTACAATCCCCCCCCCCTTGGAATAAAAATGCATTGTAGATTACCAATGTCTTCATTTATTGTTTTATCCGTTTACAAACAGCTTTATCCCTTCAGTGTGAGATATAATCCTCATATTTGCTTGGAGCTTTCCTAATCCTTTTAATAGGTACTCCTGCAGATGTAGAATCACCCTCGAAATCATCAACCTGAGTCTGTGGGGCGACTGTTTTAGAAGCGATCCCATTTGGAGAATACCCAAGATCATTTCTCTCAACTCGCTCCAACACCTTCTTCAAGTGAGCTGAACTGCGTCTGTATTCCTTACCGGATTTTGCTGATTTGATGATTATATCAGTCCCAACTTTGCTCTGAACTATGAACTCCTCATTACTGAAATTCGTATCCAACTTGTTACCCTTTCGCATTCGTTTAGCCAATACAATATCACCCTCCTTTATTTCAGAATGCTTGGCATTTCTCTTTTTGTCTGAATACTCTTTCCCCTTTTGTTTGACAATGGCGTCTCGTTCTCGGACCGAACTATCCTCGTGGAATATCATGATTGATGGAACTTTGCTCCTGATACGTCTTCCAAACATCAATTCCCCGGGTGACTTTCCTGTTGAGGGATGATTTGTCGAATGATACGTCAATAAATAATCACGTAGTTCTTTCCTCCAGTCCAAACCCAACTCCTGGGCAATGCGAAGGCGTTTTAGAATGGATCTGTTCTGGCGTTCCACTTCTCCGTTGGATTGTGGCCAATAAGGGATGGTATTCAAAAATTTTAATCCTGTTGATGCACAGAACTCTTTTATTTCCGCACAATCAGCACTAAACTGAGGAGCATTATCTGCCTTAATGACCGAAGGGACTCCATACCTACCGAACATAATAGCCAACTGTCTAATTACATCGCTTGAAGTAGTGGATTGCATTTCGCTAACTTCAATGAACCGAGAGTAATAATCGATGACCACAAACAAACTTTGTCCCTCCGGTAATGGACCAAGGAAATCAACGGCCAAAGTATGCCATGGATAAGACGGAAGCTGGCTACGGGTCATTGCTTCTGGTGGATCTGGGGCTGCCACAAGCGTGCAGGCCACCACAAATTTGACCTCAGATCCAGAACAACATGTGAAAAGGGCATACAAGCTTTTTGTAAACAAACCTTCTTATGCCCTTTTCTCACCACCCATATGACACCAACGCAAACCTTTAACATCACCGGGTAGGGGAAACTTTCCCCTTCCCGATGATATTGCTGGTTTGCGTGGGCAACCCTCGGTTGGTGAGAAAAGGGCCTACAAAGGTTTGTTTACAAAAAGCTTGTATGCCCTTTTCACATGTTGTTCTGGAGATGGTTCTTCATCATCGATATTCCAGGGTGACCATCATGAGCAGAAGACAAAACCCTATTCCTAAGGGATTTTGGCACTACAATACGATCTCCTCTAAGCAAAACATCTTCAAACTGACACAGCTCATTTGTCAGCACCCGATATTCAATTGGCAGGTTATCTTGCGTACCGTTGAACAGCTGTTCTAATATGTTCTTGATTTCAGAGTCTGATTGTGAAGCTTCTTTGATATCATTCCACGTGAGCGCTGTCGAAGAAAGAGCAGATATCGTTATTTCTTGAACCACTATCTCTTCATTCGCGTCAAATGGTCTGGGTTCTAGTACAGCTAGGTGGGAAAGAGAATCAGCCACATTTTCCTTACCAGCGATATGTATAACTCTGTAGTCAAACGTTTGCAGCCTCAAAACTCAGCGTTCGATTCGCGCGCAGGGCCTGGAACGTTTTGCATACAAAAACGATAGCGCTTTGCAATCAGTCATGATATCGAAACTTCTCCCTAGCAAATAAAACTGAAAACGCTCTACTGCCCAGACGATAGCCAGCGCCTCTTTCTCCGTCTGGCAGTACCTACGCTCCGTTTCGGTCAGCGATTTGGAGGCAAAACTGACCACACGATGTTCGTTATCCTTGTTGAACTGAACCAGCAGTGCCCCAAGCCCATGCGGACTTGCATCCGCAATAACGGCAGTTACGTCTTCTAATCTATAGAATCCCAAATTTTGAGCATTGCTTAAAACCGCTTTTATCTCATTAAAAGAGTCATCCTGTTCCTTTGACCATTCAAATTTGACGTCCTTTGCTAACAACTTCAGTAGCGGTTGATCTGTGGTTGCCAAATTAGGTATGAACTTGTTCATGTAGTTCGCCAACCCAAGGAAACTGCAGAGCTCCTGTTCATTTTTAGGCTCCCGGAATGATAGCAAAGCTCGTATCTTCGAATCCGATGGCCTGATCCCTTTATCGCTGATTCTGTGTCCAAGATACTCTAACTCGGTGACTCTAAACTGACATTTTTCCCAATTGAGGGCGACATTGCGACTTTTGAAATGGGACAACACCTGAAACAGTACATTTATCTAGCAAGGAATCATCACATACAAAATAAAATAACACAAATTCGATGTTATTTCATTCACTTTTATTATCAAAACAAAACTTGTTACATTACCTCATTTAGGCGAACATCATGTTCCTCCATATCTTTGCCTTCGATGATGACGTCGTTGAGGTACCAAGCTACTCCCTCGCATCCTGACAAAATCTCATCCATCGCTTTTTGGAAGAGCTCCGGAGCCGTCACCAACCCAAATGGCAACCGTTTGAACCGGAACAATCCTCGTCCTGTGATGAAGGTGGTAACATCTTTGGATTCATCTTCGAGTTTGATTTGCAAGAAGGCCTCTTTGATGTCAAGCTTGCTCCAGACCGTACCTCTACCAAGTCGCGCAATGTGGTCATCCACCACCGGCATAGGATGATGCTCTCTTAAGACCGCTTCGTTTACACGACGAAGGTCAAGGCATAATCGTACTTCACCGTTTGTCTTCCCTACCACAACTAGCGGCGATACCCAGCTTGTCGGCCCTGTTTTCGGCTCAATAATGTCACGCTGAAGTAACTCGTCCAACTTTTTGTTGACAGCTGCTTCCAGAGGCAAAGGCAGTCGGCGCATGGGTTGAAAAACAGGTGCAAAGTTGGGGTCAACGTGAATGAATGCTTCTACGCCCTTGATCGTCGAAAACGGTGATGACAAATCGTTGACTTTGTTGATATTCAACCCAACTTTCAGAATGCCCAGTTGTTTGGCAGTAGTGTCGCCTAGCAGACAACGCTGGCCACCTTCGACCACCAGAAATTCCGCCTGAGTTCGGCTTTTTCCCACCTCTATGTCAGCAACAAAAGAACCCAAAATTTTCAACGGATCATTACTTCCATAAGCCTTTAGGATCCTGGTACTTCCTTCCGTAGATGACTGCAACAATACCCGTTTATCCTTCAGTTTGGACCAAGACGCTTTGCTGATAAGATTGGCGTCAGCACTGGAGTCTACCAGCATTTCCAATTCAACGCCACCGATGTCGCACGTCACAACGTTGCTTTCGTTGCCCGAGTAGAAAGCATAGTATACTTTGTCCTGTCCAATCTCCTCCTTGACATTACTACCATAGAGGTAACTCTAAGACCACTGGGTCCCGAAGAAAATCATTATTATTTTTGGCTCACTTAGTACCAGAACAACGGTCCCAAGCAGTCCCAAGCTATTTCACTCACCCCTCCATGTTCTGCATGAATCCACACACCCCTGATGTTATCTGTCAAACTTTCATAGCGAATCAAAACAAACATAGTGTAGTAATAGAATTTCAACTAGAATAGGGTACGTTAATCGTTTGCTTGGGACCAATAGGCTACTAAAGTGGTGAGCCAATTTAAAATCGTTACTTTCGTATTGATTGTTGTTACTACTGTCCTCACAAGTTGGTTGCTCATTCTGTACCGTTCGAATCTGCTTGCCACCTTGATCCGGAAGTGGTCGTTGCTTCTGTTTGCGGCACAGTCGTTCAAAGTGTCCATAAATCTGACAATTTATACACTGTTTGCTACGAGCTGGGCACGCTTGCGACGCGGCCACATGACCTACACGACCACAGTTGTAGCACGCATTATCCCGCATTGGCTTGAATTTCACCGACGAAGCTTTAGACCTCGTAAATCGTTCTTGTTTTGTCTGACCCACTCGACAAATCTTCTGAGGGGGCTCGTTCGTATTCATTTCTTCGATTTGTTGATCCACGCCTTCCAACGAGATTCCGAGAGCTTCAATATAGGCGAAAAGTAGATCCTTAAGCAAAATTCTTCGTCTTACTTCGTTCGAACTGCATCCCTCCACCACAGCATCTGTTAAGTAGATCTCCGTCAAAATCGCTTCAATCTCCCTTCCATATCGTTCGAAACCGCATTCAGAAACTTGCTGCTTCAACCGAATGATGAAATCGGCAAATCTCTCACCGGATTTTTGTCTTAGCTGTCGTAGCTTGCGGCACTCCGACGTCGTTTGGTGACGAGGCTCAAAAAACTCGTCGAGCTTTTCGACTGCTACATCGTACCATTTCGGAACGAGCAAGACTATCGGCATCTGGTCACGATCCTTCAAATTCTTGAAAACGGTTTGTAACGCTGGTCCGCCTAGATGCAGTAACTTAACCCTCATCATTTGCTGGTCCGTAATACCATACGCTGCGAAATAGCATTCCAGCGATTCTTTCCAGGATCTCCATTCTTTTGCCAACTTGCTTGTTTCAATCTGGTTGCACCTGAAAGGTGGTACCGGACGTGATTCTTCCATCTGAAATGGAAACAAACACAAAATTTCACTTAGCGTCTCTGCACAATGTCTACGCACCGATTTCTCTTTTTTTTTTTCAAAAAAACACTGCTCTTCTCAACTCACTACTACCTCAAGCTCTGTTTCCATTGAAAATCTCTCCCGATTTCATTATGCATGGAAAATTTACATAATTTTCGCATTCTGATCTCGCAAGGGAAAATCCTTTCGATTTTCGCCACTCCAAAGTTAACCTCTTCAGTTTTAACCTCCACGTGGAAAATCCCTTCAGATTTTCGCCTATTTTCCAACAAACCTACATAAATTCTGTCGTTTCATGGAAAACCCTTACTGGTTTTCACAAAATTTCAGGGAAATCCTACTGATTTCCGCTATCCTCCGATTCAATAACATTTTTTTTTTCTGACCATTTCTCAACCATGGTGCTGCGAGGCAAATTCTTGGAATTTGCTAAATCACGCCACTGCCGTAGCAACATTTTCCTTTGTCCGAAATTCCAGGATTGGACAATCGTCTCCGTGTTTTCTTTATTATTTAACATTCAGCACGAGTTTCACCGACAGTCAAATATTTCAGCATTGTATATTTTTCACAACTCAGCATTATGCTTACCATTTTCTTTGAAAATTAATCCCACCAAGTCGCCAGGTTGTAGTATCGTGGCCTCCTCGCTAGCTGGTCGTTACTTGAATGCCCTCTCTATCTCTCTCCCTGCCCGTTCTCGTCTATGCTTTCACTACCTCTTTCACTACCACACCCTTATCAAGGCCAAGGTAGCTTAACCCAAAGGTAGTCCTATTTTCTTAGACACAAAGGTTTTTTGGTAAAGGTATGACTAATATACTACACTGGGAACCGGCTTTGTAGTGCTGGGTAAGATGCGCCAACGCGTGATTGGTTGGCAGCCGATCAACGCGTGGATGTGCAAGTTGAGGATTAATGGCCGTTTCTTCAACTACAGTATCATTAACGTGCACTGCCCACACGAAGGGAGACCCGACGACGAGAAAGAAGCGTTCTATGCGCAGCTGGAGCAGGTGTACGACGGCTGTTCGCAACGGGACGTCAAAATCGTCATCGGCGACATGAACGCTACGGTAGGACGGGAGGCAATGTATAGACCGGCAATTGGGCCAAACAGCCTGCATGCCGTATCGAACGACAACGGCCAACGATGCGTGAACTTTGCAGCCTCTCGGGGTATGGTAGTTCGAAGCGAGGGGGGCGATACATCTAAATCTCAATTCCAGATGCTCAAAAAATCTCACACTAGCGAATAAATCTTCGAAAAATCTTCTTTCATTTCTCGTATCTACTTGCATCGCGCATCATCTTTTTGCAGGAAATCTTCAAAATCGTGATAAATCTTCTTTCTATCTACTCAGCGTACGCGCAGCTAGCCACAGCAAAACACAATATTTCCTGCATCGTAGATAGAGTCGTCCCCCTCGGTTCGAAGTACCTTTTTCCCCCGCAAGGATATCCACAAAGCCACCTGGAGATCACCTGACCAACACACAGAAAACCAAATCGAACACGTTCTAATCGACGAGAAATTCTTCTCTGACATTATCAACGTCCGCACGTACCGCAGTGCGAACACAGATTCGGACCACTACCTAGTTGCAGTATGCATGTGCTCAAAACTCTCAACGGTGCATAACACACGTCGAAGTCGAACGCCGCGACCCAACATTGAGCAACTACGGGACGCCGGAGTTGCCCAGGACTACGCGCAGCAGCTGGAAGTTACACTACCCACGGAAGAGCAGCTTGGCGCAGCTTCTCTTGAAGATGGCTCGAGGGACATCCGTTCAGCCATAGGTACTACTGCTGCAGCGGCACTAGGTACTGCAATCCCGGACCGAAGAAATGACTGGTTTGACGGCGAATGCAAACTGTTAGTAGAGGAGAAGAATGCAGCACGGGCGAGAATGCTGCAACACCGCACGAGATTGAATGTGGAGCGATACAGACAAGCGCGGAACAGACAAAACTCGGTTTTCCGAAGGAAGAAGCTTCAGCAGTAAGACAGGGATCACGAAACGATGGAAAATCTGTACCGCGTAAACGACACACGGAAGTTCTATGAGAAGCTAAATAGTTCGCGCAAAGGCTACGTGCCGCAAGCCGATATGTGCAAGGACTTGGGCGGTAACCTTCTCACGAACGAGTGTGAGGTGATTGAGAGGTGGAAGCAGTACTATGACGAGCACCTCAACGGTGAAGCAGCAGAAAACAAAGGTGGCACGGCAACAGACCTTGGAGCACACGCAGAAGACGACAGGCTACCGGCCCCTGATCTTCAAGAAGTTGAGGAGGAGATCGGTCGGCTGAAGAACAACAAAGAAACTGGTGTAGATCAACTACCAAGTGAGCTATTAAAATACGGTGGTGAAGCACTGGCTAGAGCGCTGCACTGGGTAATTGCCAAGATTTGGGAGGAGGAGATATTACCGGAGGAGTGGATGGAAGGTGTCGTATGCCCAATCTACAAAAAGGGCGACAAGTTGGATTGCTGCAACTACCGCGCGATCACACTGCTGAGCGCCACCTACAAGGTACTCTCCCAAATTCTATGCCGCCGTCTGTCACCATTTGCAAGAGAGTTCGTGGGGCAATACCAGGCGGGATTCATGGGTGCCCGCGCTACCACGGACCAAATTTTCGCGATTCGGCAGGTTCTGCAGAAATGCCGCGAATACAACGTGCCCACACATCATTTGTTCATCGATTTCAAATCCGCATACGACACAATCGATCGAGATCAGCTATGGCAGATTATGCACGAGTACTGATTTCCGGACAAACTGACGCGATTGGGCAAGGCGACGATGGATCGAGTGATGTGCGTTGTTCGAGTATCGGGGACACTCTCGAGTTCCTTTGAATCTCGAAGGGGGTTACGGCAAGGTGATGGACTTTCGTGTCTGTTGTTCAACATCACGTTAGAATCAGGTGTGATCAGAAGAGCTGGGATAGACACGAGTGGCACGATATTCAGGAGGTCCATCCAGCTCCTTGGCTTCGCCGATGACATTGACATTATGGCAAGGAACTTTGAGATGATGGCGGAAACGTACATCAGACTGAAGGCTGAAGCTAGGCGGATTGGACTTGCCATCAACGCATCGAAGACAAAATACATGAAAGGAAGAGGTTCTAGGGAAGACAATGTTAGCCTCCAACCCCGAGTTCAGATTGACGGTGACGAAATCGAGGTGGTCGATGAGTTCGTGTATTTGGGCTCACTGGTGACCGCCGAAAATGATACCAGCAGAGAAATTCAAAGACGCATTATGGCAGGGAATCGTGCCTACTTTGGACTCCGGAGGACGCTCCGGTCGAATAAAATTCGCCGCCGCACGAAGTTGACTGTCTACAAGACGCTGATTAGACCGGTGGTCCTCTACGGCCACGAGACTTGGACTATGCTCGTGGAGGACCAACGCGCCCTTGGTGTTTTCGAACGGAAGGTGTTGCGTACCATCTACGGTGGAGTGCAGATGGATGATGGAACGTGGAGGAGGCGAATGAACCACGAATTGCACCAGCTGCTGGGAGAACCATCCATCGTCCACATTGCAAAAATTGGGCGACAACGGTGGGCTGGGCACGTCGTAAGAATGCCGCACGACGACCCAGTGAAAATGGTTCTAGAAAGCGACCCAACAGGAACAAGAAGAAGAGGCGTGCAGCGGGCAAGGTGGATCGACCAAGTAGAAGGTGACCTGCGGACCCTTTGCAGACTACGAGGCTGGCGAACTGTGGCCATGGATCGAGTAGAATGGAGACGACTTCTTCGGACAGCAGAGGAAAACAAGGCCTTTGCCTGATTGGTAACCCTAATAAAAAATTACCATAAACGAACGATAACCCAAATGATTAAACTATTTCACAAATGGTTTGGATGATACCCCGAACACGTCGTTAAGTAAATTAACCATAACATTTTTATTAGGGAAGGTAAGGTAAGTGTGTCATCAGAAAATGGAACACTATCTGTTTGTCAACATTCCTAATGCATAATCAATCCTAAAAAAGAATATTGTAACTGGTTGAGTTGATTAAACTCAATTCTATTTTTTGAAAGTAGGCCTAAAATCAGTGAGTCGTTATTTCTAATTCCTGCGTTAATCCTTCTGCTGGTTTAGTCGTACTGAACAGCAAAAATAATAATTTATAATTACATCCATAAGGATGCACTCCAATCATGTCAAAAATCTCATGTAATTTTTATGGCTACAAAAATAAACAAATGCAGTAAATGCAGGGTAATGTCTGTTCATGCACTGTATTAATGATAATTTTGTCCTTCTTGCCAAGTAATATTAGACCATATTTTCGACACGATTGAAGTGCATCCACTTTGAGTGATATCTAAATTAATTTTTTGCTGTGTAAGGAGTGATGTTACAGTAAACAATCATATAAATTGAAATAATTAAATCTGCTGTATCTGCTTATTGCTATTACATCATTATTTCATACATCAGCTTGAATTGCGTTGAACGATATTACATTTTTTTTTGCTGTGTATTACATTTTTTTGTTGTGAAACTGGGTTACGAAGTTATGCTCCACCCTATCGCCCACCCTTCACGGTGTTTGGCGAATATCTATTAAAGGGTTAAAAAATACCCATTTTCAAATCATGTATGCAGCTGTCAGAAAATGGAGGAACTTTGACATCATAAATTGGGTGACGCTATGAGTATTCGTCAAACACCGTGATAGAGTTCACTACACGCTATTTCAAAACTACCCAAATTTGGAAAGAATCCACCCAGATCGGCCAAAACTGATCCTACCCAAAAATGGGTAAACTGTGTTGGGAGTGACAAGTTGACAAATGGACAACATCGACATGAATCCGATCGACTTTGTTCAGATAACCCAACATAGTTTACCCATTTTTGGGCAGGTTCAGTTTGGTTTGTTTTGAAATAGCGTGTACATCGTATAAGAAACTGCGCGAAAAACGGTACAGTGGTGTAATTCACCGCGCGTCTATGCATCGGGCATCGTCTTATTTTTTTTCGTGTGCTAGAGGTGATTTCTACTTGATCAGCTTTAAGAGAGTAATAAATGAGAAAAGCACAGCACGATTCAGCTTTTCACCACTGCAACGTTATTCGCCTAGCATTATGTATGCTAAAAATTTATTTTGGTTTCCCTATTCCTTCTCTTTTGCTTGTACGTAACCGTATTTCTTTCCTGTTATGAAGCGAATTTGATTTATTCTTTTATTTCTGCGAATTCATTCACAAAGCTACGCTGGCAGTTGTTTGTGGTGTTTTTATTGCATAAATAATTATAAATACGATTCTAAGCCTAATTTATCACTCTTAAGATTTTCTCGCTAATTGCCACCGTTAGAAGCAGCACATAAAATAGTCGGGTGCGCATCTAGCTATTGAGATCTGAATTCGTGGGCAGTTCCAGATTCGTTCACAGCGGCACTTGGACTTGTATTTCCGGCGTTTGTACCGCTGAATCACAAAATCACTGATAACGTCGTTTTCCTTCGGTTGGTGGTGTTTTTTGAACGGCGCCGGTGAGGAGGGTTTTTGGATGTAGAACAAATCGGATTCGCCCGTGAGTTTGATCGATCCCGTTGCTCTTCTGCGATGCGATGACGATGGACCACCGTGTAGCGAGACAGGTTTCAGTGGACTTATGTTGATGATGTTGTCCGTGCGGTGGTTTTCATACTGTAGTTTTCTTTCTCTGGTTGAAATGTTTCGAGCTTCAGATGAATCCATAATTTGGAGTTTTATTATTTTACTCGTTTGAGTTTCGACCGTAGTGGAGCGATCAGTGGTTGATGTTGTTATGTCGATTGGACTGATGGTTGATATGCGTGCTTCTTTGAACGATCTAGGCTCAACTACTTCTGTCTCATTCAGTTGTAATGGCTTGATTTGGACCAATGCAAGTTCTCCGCCGTCACTGTTCGAGCGGCCGGATGTAATGCCGAGGATCTTGAACTGTGCATCACTTTCGTTGATTATAACGAGAATAGCAATGAATATAGAAAGATATCTGAAAGCAGAAAAAATGGACATTTTTAAAGCTGTGAAAAACATAAAGTGGACACCACATGTGCAAAAACTCAAAGTTATCAATAATAGTTAAGGTTTAAAGCAGGCCCCACACGGGCTGTTGGATCATTCGTGACTTGTCCGGGGGTGAGATTTTAACTTGTGACTTTGGCGTGAGAGGTATGGATGCTAACCACTAAGCCGGGGTCGCCCCCTGCCCCCTCATATTGATGTAAATATTAACGCAAAACCAAAAATGTTTAATTTCGTTTCCCAATATTTCTCCTTATTTTTCCCTATTCTTTGACTACAGCAGTAGATGCGGCCTGATCTTGGGCTAAGTGTGGCGAAGACGTAATAGTTTTCGAACCAATCAATAAAACCATTATTGCTTGGAAGTTATATACCAGTGTACCCCAGACCCCAAAAATGAGGGGGGGGGGGGGGGGGTGACATCTTTTGTCAGAATTGTTGTCATTTGTCTCGAGATTGTCCATCAGATATAACTCGGCATATAATTAATTAAATGAGGAGCAGTATTGATGGCCCACCAAAAATATTGTTGATAATATTGACATAATTTTTTTGATGGAAAAATTGACAATACTTCTGCCGTGTCCGTGTGTGGGTGCACTTAACAGTAATACAGATATATATAAATATATATAAATATAAATATAAATATATATATATATATATATATGTATATAAATATATAAATATATAATAAATATATAATATATATATATATATATACACATATACAACGAAGATTAGTATTGTGTAATTTTCAAGAAGTTTATGCCATTTTCAAGGATCAATATCCCGCAACTAAAATAGGGTTTTCAATCCTGATGAATGTGGCGTCTTAGTGGAATACCTGTATAATGAAAGAGAGAGAAGGATTAGTAATTTCCATTTAATTCCACTACCTTATTTGCTTATCCTTGACAGATACGCGTATTTCGTCTACAATGTGCAGACTTCTTCAGTGTCTTGTACTAATACTCGACTGAGTAGTCGAGTATTAGTACAAGACACTGAAGAAGTCTGCACATTGTAGACGAAATGCGCGTATCTGTCAAGGATAAGCAAATAAGGTAGTGGAATTAAATGGAAATTACTAGGGTTTTCAATGTTTGCAAGTAACCGCCCTAAGCATTGCATTCTGGCAGGAACGAGTGGCATACATACTGTTTGTGTGTGTGTTTACCACCAAAATGTTAAATTAATTTTTAAAACTCTTCAAGATAGAAAGTCACTTCCAGCTGATGTGAAATCATACCATGACTTGTTTTTTTTTTTTAATTATTTGCACCAACCCCACAGAACATTATATTCGTTCCCTGCACCGCACAAAGTGTACCGCTCATTGAGTGGATCGCTTTCTCACAAATTAGTTGAAAAAAAGTGTGCAAAGTAAATGGGAGAACCTAGCGGCGCCGGTAGTGTAGTGGTAAGCGTGATTACCTCTCACCCCAGCAGGCCTGGGTTCAATCCCAGTCGGCGCCGCTGGGATGTTCTGAGGCATAACATCTCTGGTCACGCCTTCCTTCGGAAGGGAAGTAAAGCCGTTGGTCCCCGGTTCATGAATTGATGGGTCGATAGGTAGCGTCCAGGTGTGGGAGCAGCCTTCCTGGCGTCGGTAGCACGCACCGCAGCACGGAAAACAAGATCGACGGAAAACAAATCAAGGAAAAAAAATGGGAGAACCACACACTCTTTGTCGAGTGTTGTGAGATGCATGCACAAAGTTGCTTTGCTAACGCTCTGAGGTGAGGACTTGTTGACGGGTAATTGAGAAAAATTTCGCAAAGGCGATTTGTCGATCAAATATATCGCCTTCCATATTTTTTTAAGTCAACTTTTAGAACATTTTTGGTCTCATGACCCGTACTCGCCGGGTTATGTTCGGAACCAGCGGAACGATTCCAAAAACATTCAATAACATTCTATGGGACCTTGATATCTTTCTACTATTCAATACTGTGCTAAACTAATACAGCATCGTCTTGGCGTTGTGACTGATTAACGTTAATTTTTATGATTGACGTATCATGTAATCGCTAGTTCGTCCAGCTCAGATTTTGCTCATATAATAATATTTAACATTATGTTATCACAATCACTAATTATCTCTATGAAATAATTGTAAAATATGAAAACTTGCAAAATCTTTGAAGGCCATTTTCACATTTCTAGATTCTTACAGATGGGCTATTAGAAAAATATTCGCAAAAAATGTATTTTCGTACTGGAATCTGATTTCGTTTACTTTTGGATGTTCATAAGAACAGGTAAATATATGAATTTATTGGTTGATAAACCATATGTTCTTGAATGATTCTTCCATAAAGCACAGCTGTGAACGGCCCACCGATTTTTCTCCACTCACGCAACTGAACTGATTTTCTGAGGTGTCGAGTTTATGGTTGACACTAATCACAAACCAAAAATCAGATCAATCGGTTGGATTTGTGTACAGGCCAAACTTTTAGGTTTTATACGCAGTATATTATGAAAATGCTAGATCTTACCTAATGCTAACAAATTGTGAGATATAACAGTATTTGCTAAAATTTTACATCATAGTGGTGTATAAAACTGAAAATTTATCAAAATTCTTTAAAAACGTTAGCCAATTTTTTAGAGTGAGTAGTGTAGACTAAGTTGGACATTATATTAAGCATAGCTCTACAGAGAACTGCAGGCATTTATGTAATACTAAATTTGGTTTTTTTTTTTAAATTTTATTTACTTTAACATTCGTGACTTGTCCAGGGATGCGATTTAAACTCGTGACTTTGGCTTGAGAGCTATGGATGTTAACCACTACGCCGGGCCGTCCCTTAGATTTTAATATATTTTAAAGTAGGTGTACCAGTTATGGCTATACATTTATATTTTGGTGTGTTCCAATATGGCCTATTGAATCCATTGCCATTAGTTATTTATTATTTTATTTTCATTTATTGAGTTATTTTCTACAAATGGTCCTTTCTCAACAATAATGCCATATGCTTAGGTTGACAGTAATTCCCCAACACGTTGAATAAGTAATATCCCAATTCAAAAAGAGGGCAGTAACTAAAAAACGTGACATACACAGCAAAAAATAAATTTCAATATTACATTCAAGAGGATGCACTTCAATCATGTCAAAAATCTAATGTAATTTTTATGGCCATACAGATTAACAAATCACGTAAAAGCAACGTAATGTCAGTTCATGCACTGTATTAATGATAATTTTGTCCTTTTTGGCAAGTAATATTACACCATATTTTCGACACGATTGAAGTGTATCCACTATGATGTGATATTAAAATTATTTTTTTGCTGTATATGTATATTGTGCATATATATTTATATAAAATGGCTAGATTTCCCAGTCCTTGAAACAAAACTACCAGTTTGTCAGAGTTATTAAAAAGGGAACTTAATCTGATCTAATCTAAGCTAATACATAAGCAGCCAGTACGAGAAAGCATCCTGGAAAATGATTAGGTTAGATAACGCCATAAGTTTACTAAATAAACATTATGAATTTGACACCATTAAACTTGACATCTTCGTGTTTCAGTCCGTAAAACTCCTAACTCGGTTGATTTTTTGCCTGCAGCTGGCAGTGTAAAAATTCCCAAAATTTTCAGAAAAAAAAACCAGCCGTAAAAGCCGAACTCAAAGAGATACGTTTCTGAATTTTTGGTATCACACATTTATCTATTATTGGTAGAATATTTGAACAGTAATACCTTAATATCTTAAAATAAAATGAACTAAACTTCTTGAAATTTTGCTCATTTTTAGTCATAATAAAGATCATTATCATATCATAACATATTTGTTTAATCTGTTAGCCAAGATTTAACAAACTATCTATTTACGATGCCTAAAAAAAATCCACTAGAGTGTACGCTCAATTTTGCGATATACTGTTTTTTTTTTATGTTTTATTCAATAATCATAATAATGTATCATTACAGATTTAGATTTTGAACATTAATCATATTATTTAATTGAAGGATATCAAAGTTAACTCAATTAAATTAAAAATTAATCTTCGAACTGTATGACAATCCCCATAAAAATGCATAAACCGGCGATACAATAACAATTTGAGGAAGCAAATGTGGAACATGATCAATTAAAATATTAAGACTTATCGCTTGTACCGATGAACCAGACAGCTGGTGACAGGCAGAAATTTATTTGTTCGGTTGGTGAATTCGCTGTTATTTGATTTCTTTTCCTCTCAGATTCAGAGAATATATATTTACACTGGTTTGTGGCATGATATTAATGTGATTGTATGTTTGCTGTCTAGTGCAGCCAACGTCTTATTATAAAATTTGAATGATGTTGGTGTGATTGGCACGTTTTTCTTTTGGTTTTCGGGAAAAAATGAAAACGAAAAAAGAAATTAGAGCAGCAGAGGAAATATCAATGAAGGTATGTAAAAAATTGATGCTTGAAAACAAGGTAAAATATAAACTTTTGTAAGTAAAAGAACAGTTTTCTGTTGGTTTAAATAATGAAGATCATTTCATTGAGCAGTATCTAAGAGAAGTTCAAGTGACTAAATCAACGAAGAGGTGATTCATTAATTTTATCACGCACGTGTAATATTCTATGAAAACGAATGTATTAGATGGGTGGGTTCAAAATTTTCCTCAATTTCACGTGACATAATGAATGCTTGGCCCTATATCAAAGACTTCTATAAATTTTTAAGAAGAGCTCAAACAAATTCACAGAAGACATATATTGTAGACATTTTTTAAAACAAACCACCACAACCCATCCAGCGTAGACAATCCGCAATCTCTATTGATAAATGGTTTCAAGCATTTCTACAATTAGTACAGTATCGTTAAACGTATGTTAACTGAAACCATCTTGATCTTGTTGTTGTCAAATAGTTTCAACGCGTTCCTTGATGTCTATTTATTTCAATTTTCAGCACTTCCATCATTTGGCTCAAAGCCATAGAATAAAACC